GCAATCACCAAACCCCACTTTGGCATCTGAAACATGAGCATAACATTCTGTTCTCCCAAGGTTTCTATGCTTAAGGACAATTTCACAGAGAGATAACCATCTGTTGATGCCGAGGCATCTCCCAGCACGCATCAGCCTCAGGAATAAGAAAATGGAAAATCTGCCAGACAGCTGCAGCTCAGCCAACTCCCACCCCTCCTGTGAGCTCCTACCTGGTCCACAAGCACACAGTTAGGGATGGCGATGTTCCCAAGGAGCAGGCAATTCACTAGTCTCAGATTCGCTGGAGGCACTGGTGTCAGGATGTGGTAAAGCTTCTTCTCCATATCAACTCCACGGACAATTCCTGAAAAAAAAAACAAACCCACATGCAAAGCTCAGTCACTAAGTATCCCTGCTCACTATCACATCCCTACATGACTGAGCACCAAAGTCCAAACTGGAACATTAACTTAAGTCACAAGGAAACTGAGACAACTACTGTAATTTTGCAAAAGCTACATGGGACGTGCTTTCGAGAACGTGAACTGGAAAGTGAGTCACTGTGGAGTTCTGAGAGAAGCTCTGAGTGGCACCGTTCAAGGACATTCCCCACAGCTCTTACCACCTGTTAACCAAAGTCCAAGGACTGCAAAACAGCCTCTAACAGCAGAGAATACGCCACACTCATCCCACTCCTCCAGCTGGTTTAAAAGAGTAGATAATTCCATCACTATGCAACCTGTCTGCCTAAACACGGCAGGTGAGAGCAGAGCTCCAGGTGTGCTCACCGAAGCCCAGGCAGTCGCAGATTGGTGTCTGTGTCAGCAGGACTGGCCCTTCGGTCTGGCACCGCACTTCCTCCGGAATGCAGCAGAGCCCGACCCAGCTGGCGTTCACTGCATACATGATGTTGCTGGGAGCAACATCTGTGTGAATAACCCTGAGTGCAACAGCATTAAAAGGTACCTGAGGTGGGAAAGAGAAGAGAGAAAAGTGCTCATCAGCTCCACATGGATTGAGTTTGAGTTCTGAGATAAGACCCTGCACACTCCCCACCACACCTACACACAGGCACTATGGCAGGGCACACAAAGCAGCTTCTGCACCAACACCTGCACATGCAGGACACACAGCACACACGTGCCACACCAGCAACTTGACAGAAGCTTGGCTTCCAGACATCCTGAATACAGTCACTCTGTAGATTAGAGGGTTTGTCCCTCTTCTGAGAAACATATGCAGTAGGAACAGAACTGCCCATCACTTCAGGTTGGGCTCTGTGCACATTCCCTGGCAAACCATCCCAAAAAGCTCCTTTACCTGATATGGCACCAGGCTGTGCAGCGGGAGCACTGCCCCAATGTCGGGGCTCTGCAGGTGCCCCAGGTATCCCAGGATGGACATGTCACGCAGGATGCCACTGTGCACTCGCCTGAAAGAACAACCCCATGTCAAGGACGACGTGTGGCTCTGTTCAGCCCAGGGACCTCACAGAGCACTCAACATCCTACTTACACTTCACCTGCCACCCCTGCCCGAGGGAATTCTGGATGGACATACAGCAGCTTGTGCTGTGGAGCTGACACATCCTCCCCTTCAGAGTACTTCCAGCTCTCCATGCTGTCCACTCCCAGCTGCTTGCACTTGGATTGCTGCTTGCCCTTGGTGTGCAGCCCGGCGCTGAAGTGGACGTGCTCAGGCGTCAGCGGGGGCATGGCCTTCCAGTCACACATGTCCATCTGAACAATGTGGCTGGGTGACAACAGCCGGATGATATCGATGAGGAGCAGCAGCCCTTCACCTTCAGGAGCACAGGAAACACACAACTGCTGCTACTACTGCGACAGGTGGCACAGCAGCGTTAGCTCAGGGTGGACATGCTGTGAATTTTTGTTCCACGTGGGTCTGTGCCGCTGTTACCTCCCTCCCACACCTCTCCAGAGCAGATTAACCCTGTTTACCTTTCACCCAGCCCATGGTGTTGATGACTAGAGGCACTTCCTTCTTGTAGTAGCTGAACACGTATTTCACAACATCAAGGTACCTCTCTGTGTCCTGCTCACAGCTGGTCTGGCCATAATACACCATCTTGCTGGGCATCTGCTGGTGAGTGAAGGGGGGACCTGGCAAAGAGAGCACCGAACATCCAGTGCCTTCCCCAGGTCACACCAAAACATTGCTGTCCCTGACCACCCACACGCCTCCTCTCCCGAAATAACCCACTCTTCCCACATGCCAATTGTCCTTGCACAGCCTGCCAGTAGGGGAAACTGGTCTGTCACTTGCAGGCTGGGAGTTTTGTTTGTTTCAGATTAGTATTTGGTGTGGGTTTTTGTTTGAAATCACTGCTTACACACTTGCAAATCTTTAAAGAACAAGTTTCTATGATAAAGTTTGTATGACAAACTGGTTAAACAGCAAACCAGCCTGGAAATGTCCTTTTAGACAGTAACCCAGATCTGGAAGACTACAAACTCCAGCAGTTTCCTGGACTCTGTTTTTCCCACTCATCACAGCAGCCCCAATCTGTGCAGATCCACTTTGGATTTCTCAAGTTAGTATTATCTACAGATACAGATTTTCCCAAGGAGACCTTTCACCTCTGAAAGGCAGAACATCCCCTTTGATACACCTTAGCATGTACTACCACCTCTACAACATCGTGTTTCTTTAAACAGCTCCATGTTACTCAGGGAGCTTAAATGCCCCTACAAGAAAACTTCAACAGCCCTTGGTTTATTCTCCCCAGGAAACTCTGACAGCTGTGGCAGCAGCTTCCTCTGAAGCAGAGCCTCTACCCAGAACAGCCTGTTCATTTCAGAAACGGAACAGGTCTCTGTAACCGCAGAAGCAGTGGAACACATACCCAGAACGGGCTCCGTGACGCTGCTCAGGGACACGCACCCGGGCGGAGTGAATTCTGTCTGGCCAATGTCACACTCCATGTACTCCACCACAGGAAGGCTGCAGGGAGACGGACTGTGTGTTAGCATCCACCAAAAGAACTACACGACCTGAACATATCAGAAGAGCAGTCAGATTTTGTTCCAGGTTGCAAAGCTAAAATTCATTAATCTCTCCTTCCCTCAACCACACTCATGGTGCATTTCTAGCTATTGCAACTCTCTTACCAAGCCCAAACTGCTTGGTGCCCAATGTGCTCACACACTCCAAGGCAGCAATTTAACAGTATTTCAATGGAAATGTTAAGGAGGCAACTTTTCTGAAATCACTCAATACAAGAATATCTGTTTTTCTGAATTATTGTGTTTAAAAGCTATGCACCTTTTGAGTTCTGATGGCTCTTCTGAGAGACCTGTCAAACATTTATTTTTTTCCTTTTCCTAAACTTCACATAGCACATAAAGGCTTGCAGAACATGGAAAGACTCACCGGTTCAGTAACAGATTAATTAGGTATCTGTTGAATGTTGACTTCCCAGTGTTTTTTGGGCCACACACCAGCACCACAGGGACACCTTCATCTTCCGCTAGAAAGAAAAGCAGAGTGTGAACTGGACTGATGCTGGCATCACCGACCCACCCTAGGCAATGCCTAAGCCCTAGACGCACATTCTTCATAAAGAAAAATTCGAACCCTCGATCAGCTTGTGCACTTCTTTAGCTCATGAATGCCTCACGAATTTTCTTTTTTTTCAGGCTACCGAAGCCACAACACGGCCAAAGGCCTGCACTCACCACAGCAGGCCTGGATCAGCTCCTCCAGCGCCAGGCACGTGGTCTCCGACAACAGCAGCCCGCGGTCGGGGCTGCACTTCATGATGCCCACGGACGCCAGGACCGCGTCCTCTGGCGTGAAGTTAGACTGCTCCTTTTTCTAGGCGAGAGGGTGAGCACTCAGCACGGGCTGCGTGAGGCCACGGCCTGGCGCTGACAGGGCGGCCGCCGCTGGCTCTGCACGGGCGGCGCGGGGACGGCACAGGGAGCGGCAGGCACCGCGCCGCCTCACCTGGGGCTCGAAAAACCGCGACAGCGGCGGGTGGCTCAGCAGGAACCGCGTCACCGGCGTGTCCAGGTGCTCCAGCAGCACCACGGCGCAGTCGGGAGAGAACCGTGCCATCACCTTCACCCGCGCCGCTGAAAGAGCCAAGTGCCGCCATCACCCTCAGTCCCGCCATCACCCTCAGTCCCGCGCCCGCCCGCGAAATGGCACCACCCGCTGCGCAGCGCCCCGCGCACAAAATGGCCGCTCCCCGCACCGCCCGTGAAATGGCGCCCGCCCGCGCCCCGGTCCCGTCCCGCACTCACGGCGGAGGACGCGGTGCGAGCGCATGGCGGCGCGGGCGGCGGCGCGCAGCTGGCGGAGGGCGGCGGCGGGCGGGCGGGCGCCGGGCAGCGCCTCCAGGCTGAGCGCGCAGTGCGTGGCCGGCGAGAACACCGGCAGTCCCGAGTGGTGGGAGGCCACGGCGAAGCCCAGCAGGCGGACGGCACCATAGAGGCAGCGCAGGCGGCACTTGCCGGTGAAGGTCAGCGCCTGCAGGACAGAGCGGGCGGTCAGGCGGTGCGGGGCGCGGCGCGGCCGGCGCGCTGTGGGCGCTGCTCACCTGCCGCGGCTCCAGCAGCAGCACTGCCGAGCCCTCCGCCGCCTCCACGGCCACCAGCCCCGGCTCAGCCGGCGGCACCATCCCGATGCGAGTGAAGGAGGCGGCGAACTCCCGCCAGGCTGCCTCCGCCCGGCTCGCGCGGGTCGGGGCACGGGCCGAAGCCCGGCGGGGGCGGCTGCGCCGCGCGGGCATGACCGCCGAGCCTCCTCCGCCTCCCGGGGCCGCCCCTCGGCCCGCCCCCGCCTCCCCGTTAAGAGCCGCCCGCCCGTGCGGTGCGGGGCTGCCCCGCACCATGCTGCCGCCCGCGCTGCTCCGCCTGTGCCTCTGCGCGGCCGCCGCCGCCGCCTCTTCGTTCACCCTCCGCGGCGATCACCGCCTGGCCGGGCTGTTCCCGCTGCACACCGAGGCGCACCGGGACGAGGCCAGCCTGCTCGTCCGCGGCTGCGACGAGTGAGTGCCCGCGCTGCCCGCGCCCCCAAGGTGCTCTGGCCTCCCTAACGAGCACTCTCGATTCCATAGCGCCTCCTTCAAGAGCCACGGCTACTGCCTGTCCCAAGCCCTGCGCTTCGCTGTGGAGGAGATCAACAACTCCACCACGCTGCTCCCTAATGTCACCCTGGGCTACGAAATCTATGATACCTGCTCTGAGCCTACCAACTTCCACGCCACGCTGTGTGCCCTTGCTCAAAAGGGCAGGCAGGATGTCCAGGTGCTCCCCAGTTTCCAACACTATGAACCCCAGGCTGTGGCTGTCATTGGCCCTGACAGCACCCAGCTGGCCCTCACCACAGCCGCAGTTCTCAGCCTCTTTCTTGTACCACAGGTAAGTGCAGCTTCTATGGCTGATGAAAACCAGGGATCCCAAGGAGTGATGGTTTCAGGGAGGGTGGGCTCAGACCTGAGGTGCGTGGTAGAGCTGGAAATGCAGCCACTCTGTGTGTGTTGTCACAGGATCTTCTTTCTCAGGCAGTCAGTGGGCTGTCTTGCCATCCATCACAGCTTTCTCCTGCTTCAGCACGCTTGGCACTAGGTCCACTGCCTGCCCAGCTCCAAGTCTTCCCAGGACAGGCTGCCCGTGCCATTAGCAATCAGGGGTGCAGCTGCCTGGGCCAGTGCAACCCCCTTTCCCCTGGCTCTTGTTGTAGATCAGCTACGAAGCCTCCATGGAGTTGCTGAGCCTGAAGCGGCTGTACCCCTCTTTCCTGCGCACCATCCCCAGCGACAGGCAGCAGGTGAAGGCCATCTTCTTGCTGCTGCAGCACTTTGGCTGGACCTGGGTGGCACTGCTGGGCAGTGACAACATCTATAGCAGGGCTGGCCTGAATGCCCTGCAGGAGCTGCTGACCGCAAGCAACGCGTGCGTGGCCTACCGAGGCACCATCCCCGCCAACTCGGACGCCAGCAACCCAGAGCTTCACAACCTGGTCCGAATCCTCACAGATGTCAAGGTCAATGTCACTGTTGTGTTCTCCAACAGAGGAAGCGTTCTGCCGTTCTTCGAGGTGGTGGTCCAGAGGAATGTCACGGGCATGGTGTGGGTGGCCTCTGAAGACTGGTCGTTGGCTCAAACTATCTGGCGGGTTCCTGGCATCCAGACCATCGGTTCGGTGTTGGGGATGGCAGTAGAGAAGCCAGAGCCCACAATGCTGGAACGCTTTGAAGCTTGGAGGATGTGGGAGGAAGGTGCTGTGGCTGAGTGTGCCAGCAGTGCAGAGGCAGGCAGGGGATCTGTGGGGAATGCACGGCTGGACTGCACCCAGCGCTGCACCGGCTGCCGTGCGCTCGCCACTGTCCCCGACATGTATGACGCTCAAGGCTCCTTCAGCGTGTACTCGGCCGTGTATGCTGTGGCCCATGGCCTCCATGACCTGCTGGGCTGTGCCTCGGGGGCCTGCAGCAAAGGCACTGTCTATCCCTGGCAGGTAAGAGCAACCTCGTGGAAGAAGATCCATGAGGATCCCATTTTTCCATTGTGCCCAAAGGTTTCCTGTCTTTCTCAAAGGCTCAAATCCCAGCGGAAGACCCTTGTGGGCTTCAGCTGCCCCTCACAGTCAGAGCAGCCAAGACCTAGACCTAGACTCCATCCTAGGTCACTTGTTCCTCTTCCACCAGGCCCTCACTGAATGGGATTTCCTGCAGATGTTGGAGGGCTTGAAAGCAGCTGCAGGACAGAGGAAGCGTCCTCCAGCACATCTCCCTCCAGTGGCAGGAGTCGTGCCACTGGAAGGGCTCCTCTCTTACTCTTCTGTTTTACAGCTCCTACAAAAGATTAGGCAAGTAAACTTCACGCTGTACAAGAGCCGAATCTCTTTCGATGCCCACGGGGACATTCAAAAAGGTTATGACATTGTCATGTGGAAGTGGCTGGGCCCAAATTGGGCTTCTGATGTGATAGGAACCTTCCGTGTGAACCCTGACAGGCTGAGCATCGACCCAGGCAAAATCCTGTGGCACACAGAAGATGGCCAGGTACTGTTCTGCACCCAGGTCTTTATTGCTCACTTCTGAGCTGTCTGAATCCCAATGCCACCAGTTCTGGGGTGTTTCCTCATAGCAGGGCAAAACTGAGGGCTGAGGCAGTATGGGGGGGTGCCAGAGTGCTGCTGCTTGCCAGCCTGACCCTGTCTGTGCTCCTGGCAGGCTCCCAGCTCAGTGTGCTCTGAGGCCTGTGAGCCAGGAGAGATGCGGCTGCAGCAGAGTCGCCACAAATGCTGCTTCAGCTGTGTGGTCTGCCCACCAGGAACCTTCCTGAACACATCGGGTCAGTACACCACAGGGCTTGCTCCTGCCCTTTCCTCCCCTGCCCACATCCTACCACCTGCTCCTGTCTCACCATTCCCAGCCTCTCACCTCCTGTGGTCAGTGAAACCTCTGAGCTGACCTGAAGGCAGTGGGTCCTGTTTGCTTACCAGTGGGTATGCAAAGCCCATGCCCCATGCTTTCCGGGGAGTACTGCCCACAGGTGAGCCCACCTGGGCAAACACAGCCCCTTTGCCTGTGGCCAGGGAATGAGGATGTCCGGCCTGGTAGCTGTTCCCTGAACCGCATCCTCTGCCAGGGAAATTCAACCTAGTGGTTGCCTTTGTGCCCCAGATGGCACACGGGGCTTCCGCACTACGTGATCATCAGCACCTGGCATATGGAAATGTCTCCTGCCACAGAATCACCAGCCACAACAACAAATCCCTTCCTGGCAGCTAGTGCCTCAACACCCTTGGCCTGTGGAGTGGGCAGGGGCAGCTCTGGGGACAGTGGGAGCAGAAAGCCCCCCTACATGGTACTGTCCCATTGAACAGCAGCTGCTGCAGATCCTTCCCCGGTTACTGCTTGATGCATGGGCCCCTTCCCACCTACAGCCTCCATGGCCCCGAGTCTCACATAGCTGAGCCCCTGCCTCAGCCCAGGCCATGGATTTTGGGAGAGTCCACGGGGCCAATTTTAGGTGGGAGGGTCTTTTGGGAAAAGAGCCCTCTCTGCTACCCCAAGGCTGGGAACACCTGCAGGTGCAATGGGAGAGCAGAGCCCAGGGAGCTGCGGGCCGGGCCCTGCACCGTGGCAGAGCTCTTACCGGGTTCGAGGTGCGTGAGGTGTCCATGTCCTCCACAGACCCCTTTGACTGCCAGGCCTGTGGCTTGGATGAGTGGGCCCCAGCAGGGAGCGAGGTCTGCTTCAACCGCACCATCGAGTTCCTGTCCTGGTCCGAGCCCCTCTCCTGGGTGCTGCTGGCCTTGGCTGTTCTTCTCATGCTGCTCATAGCGGCGCTGGCTGTCCTGTTCGCCCTCAATGCCTCCACACCTGTGGTCAAGTCCGCGGGCGGGAAGACGTGTTTCCTCATGCTGGGCTCCCTGGCCTGCACCTGCAGCAGCCTCTTCTGCTATTTCGGGGAGCCCTCGCAGGCGGCGTGCCTGCTGCGGGTGCCGCTCTTCGCCATCAGCTTCACCGTGTTCCTCTCGTGCGTGGCGACCCGCTCCTTCCAGATCCTCTGCATCTTCAAGCTGAACGCGCGCTGCCCTGCGCTCTACGAGGCCTGGATGCGGCGCCACGGGCCGGTGCTGTTCGTGGCCGCCAGCACGGCGGTGCAAGTGGCGCTGTGCGTGGCCACCGAGGCCGTCAGCCCCTCGGTGCCGCGCCGGGAGTACGGAGTGTGGGACGAGAGGGTGGTGCTGGAGTGCGCCCAGAGCGGCGCGGCCGACGCCGCCATCGCCTACACGGTGCTGCTCAGCGCCGGCTGCTTCGCGCTCAGCTACGCGGGCACCGACCTGCCCGCCGCCTACAACGAGGCCAAGAGCCTGACCGTGAGCCTGCTGCTACACATGGGCTGCTCGGCCGCCGTGCTCTGCTCGCAGGGCGCGCTGCGCGGCCGGGCCGATACGGCGGCGCGGGTGCTCGGCACGCTGGGCACGCTCGCAGCACTGCTGGGCGGGTACTTCGTGCCGCGGGCCTTCGTCATCCTGCTGCGGCCGCACCAAAACACGGCCGAACACTTCCAGATGGCCATCCAGGAGTACACGCGCCGCCTGGCCGCCGCCTGAGCCGCGGGGCTCGACCCGCACCGCGCCTACCCCGCCGCGGGACCGACCCTCGGCCCCGGCCCGCCCCGGCCGCTCACAGCGTCACTGCCGGCGCCCGCTGACGCCACGTCCGGCGGTGGCGGATGCCGGCAGGCTCCGGTGCGCGGCCATGGCGGCGGCGGCGGCGCACAGCGTGCGGGTGCTGCGGGAGCTGAACCGGCAGCGCGCAGCCGGGCAGTTCTGCGACGCCACGCTCGGCGTGGGCGGCCGCGAGTTCCGCGCGCACTGGCCGGTGCTCGCCAGCTGCTCCCGCTTCTTCCGCGCCTGCGGCCCCGGCGGGCCCGTGGCGCTGCCCGACGGCCTCGCCGACACCTTCCAGCTGCTGCTCGACTTCTTCTACACGGGGCGCCTGGCGCTCACGGCGCACAACCGCGCCCGCCTGCTGGCGGCCGCCGAGCAGCTCGGCGTGCCCGACGCCGTGGCGCTGT